AAAAATACACACCTCCCTGCCGCACAGCTACAATCGGACTGCTTACTGCCTCTTTCAGCGCACAAAGCGTCAAGCCCGGTGTACTATGGTTTACTGAAGTCCTCACATAGCCTTGAGCAATGCGTCTGTGGGCTAGGGGTTACGATTTTCAACTTGGGGTAGGGTAGGGAGAGGCGCGAATAGAAGTCATGTCCGTACACCTTCCCACGCTCAGAGAGTTGGGAGAGGGAGGGAATTTTCCTTCGGCTTACGGCGTGAAGGACAAGTGACACCAAGGTCGAATTCTAGGCTATCTAAAGCCCCTCTGCTTCCCGGTGCGGTTGCCACGACTCAATTCCGTGCCACAGGGATAGAGAATTTAAAACAGACCTGCAGATGCATTCACTACATGAATATCTTGCGTCTTTTACAATTGCATTAAATTCACAGGAATTCCGTTTTATAAATATTTTTCCCTCTTTAGGACATGGTACAGCGTTTCGTTTCCGCATTGGACAAGTTCCGTTGTATGCTGTGTAAAATACCATTTAATCTCCACGGGCTAGATACATTTTCTGGTTAAGACAGGTTTCCGGTTTTTACAGGTTCCGGTTTAAACATAATTTACTATACATTTGTGTGTGTATGTGTATTTGCCTACCACCCATTATATATTAACAATAGGATACACGGAATCAGTGATTCTGGATTTTTACTAATTATTTTTACGTTCTTCCATACGACGTACGTTGTGTAGAAAAAGTATTGAGTGATTCAGAAAGAATTCGTTTCGTGTATCTTTGAGTAGTGGATAATTTTTGTTTCTATATGTAGTAAGTATTTTTCTGACATGGAGGCAAGCGCGCTAGGAAGCGCTACTCTTATGCTAAGGCACAGGACCTTTTCAAGAATGATCCAGCGCTTTTGGCAAAGTGCATTAGAACGTGCATTGACAGTAATAGTGTCGATAAACAGCTCCTTATTAGGGATGAGGTTAATGACCTGTACAAATCCATCTGGGGTAATATGCCCCCGATTCGGCTTTCCGAATTAATAGAGGGTCATACATTGTTGACACCTGAAAAGGACCCAGGCAATTCTATATGTGGTGCAAGTTGCAGAAATTAAAAGTATCTGGATGGAATGAAAAATGCCACGGCTCCAGGAGCAAAAATTGAAATATTGTCCCTATTGTACACCCAAATTTTACTCAGTGACTTTGTGCCTTCTGGGTGGAATACCAAAAGAGGGTAAGGATAATACGGTTGCCACTATCGCCCCATCACTATTAGTTCTCTGCTGTGTAGAATATTTTGGGACATTATGGACAAACTCATTCGATCTGTGTTGAAGTTCAATCCACGCCAGAAAGGGTTTATCCCTGAACCTAGCTGTTTCAATAGTCAATTTCTTCATGAAGCAGTCTGTGACATGAAAAAAGCAGAGAGTCGTATAGGTGATGTGCTAGATATATCCAAAGCATTTGACACTGTTCATCACGCGGCGATTCGGTGGGCTCTGTCCAGGAAAGGGATTCCTAAAGCATCCATATCGAATTTGATGGAAGCAGTGTCGAGGATTCAGAATGTACATTTAGAGCCCACTCAGAAGTTGGCATTACTTCTTACCTTCATAATGCCACATTACCTTTATCAATCGGTTTTATCCGTGCCATCTATGTCGATGCTCAGGGAAGCGGACGGTCAAATCAGAGTGGCAGTCAAACAGTTCCTACATCGGCATATGAGTACTGCAGATGGCTTCTTCTATCTGGCCAAGAGAGATGGAGGACTGGAATTGCTGCGGCTCGCCCAACACGTTCCTATAGGTGCGCTGAACCAAGGATTACGATTAGAACAATCTGCAGATCCTATTTGCAGATGGTTGAGCTCCTGTCCGAGTTTTTACCAACGGTCCATAAAGACCGCAAACTCACTGAGACTCAACTGGCCCTCTTCTGAAAAATATTTAAGGGCTTGTAAGAAGAATTGTGCCGAAGACGAGGTCGCCACCTGGAGAAAGCTGGAATCCCAAGGGAGAGCGATTAAGGCGCATATAAACGACCCGATTGGAAATGCCTTTTTGAAAGATTAACATCTCCTGAAACCTGGACTTTTTATCACTGCACCCCAATTGAGATCAAATACCGCTCCCAATAAAACTAGTGTTAGTAGAGGAAGGCCCAGAGAAGATGTATACTGCAGAAAGTGCAATACAGCTGTAGAAACCATGAATAACATCCTCGGTCAGTGCAGTTTTACAAAGTCAGCAAGAATACAGTGTCATGATGAGATCAAGAACTCATAGAAGGGTGGATGCTCCGGAAATCGGACACCGTGGTGTTCACGGAAGTCACTTTTTCCGTTGCTGAAGGGGTTAGACTCGAACCTGACCTGGTAATAAAAAGCCGGAAGGGGTCCACATGGTCTATGTGACTGTCCGCCATGAGGATGGGTCTAGCCTTCAGAAAGCAGGGGAGGAAAAGATGTTAAAATACCCACCAGTCATCCCCCTGGCAGCCCAACTTCATGGAGTACCCAACGCCAGAATCCTGCCAGTGGTGGTTGGAACCTCTGGGGCTATGCCAAGATTCACAGTCAGTGCCCTTAAGACTCTGGGGATCACGTCTCGAGGCGATCTACTGACTATCTCGTTATCTCAGGAGCTCTATTAAACTCTACACACAATTTGTAAATTACAATGGAGAAATTTAGTAAATGCTGGAATGGAACTGCATTGTCTCGTGGGGAAGTCAAGGGAATCCAGGGGATCCTAAAATGCCTAGGAATTACTTAGTTACCATGACTTTAAGTGGGGAGTCTATACTATTTAATGTAGGATATAGAAAATTGTGGGGTCAGAATGTACGTTGTCCTGGTCCTTGATACTGAAAAATTGTGTTACCCCATAAGTCTGTGAACAGCACTTGCAGCTAAACCTTAAGAAGAATTTCACCAAAAATTGATATTCTCCTATCGATGTGGGTGATGTCGCGACTCTTTTGATTTGAAACGGATATTTTGTTTTTTGGGGGCACTTTACATGAAGACCTAACGATTTGTTCTAATTTGTTTTCGGATGGAGCAAAGGACTCTTAAACAAAAGGACGTTGGTCTCAATTTTGTTGAACTCTGAATTTTTGAATTGCAGAAGTTCAGTTTTATTCTGCGTTTTCCTTGGACAACAATATTCAAGATAGTTTTCTCTTTAATGTAATCTGTTCTTCAGTAACAATCTTTAAATAGCCATGTAAAGGTTTTTGAAAATTAGTAGTTTTTGTGCAAAATAAAGGCAACTTTAAAAACCAGACTATCTCCCCCCAAATAAACACATCAAATTGTTTCATTCATTTTTTACTCTGGAGTTGTGAAGTATACTTTAAAAATGCCACACATTCTATTTGTTCAACTTTAACTTTTGGAAAATAGCAAGTTACTGATAATGCAAGAAAGTATGTGCTGATGGGATATTGAGCATTGCAAAAACACATTTCCGATCATATTTTGAGATTTAATAATAACAACAATGACATAGGTCTCCTGCAGCAGCAAAAATGCAGTGCGCAAATACTTCATTTCCCAAAGGCTATTGTTTGCGAGGTCTACTAAAAGAAAATATTGTCCATTTCAGAAAGCACAATTTTATTCTCAAATTTCTATCAAATCTTCAACAAATGATGTAAAATATACAGATGATTGTTGTTGAATTTTAATGTAAGGGCAAATAATGAATTACACTTTTTCAGGGTGGTTTGTGTTAAGAAAACCTGGAAAATTCAGAAAAATTCAGGGAATTTTAGAATAATCTTCAGAAAAGGAAATTTTTAAGACAAATATAAAACTATGAATATTATTTCCCGAGAAATCATTAGTCCAGCATTATTTTTTGCCACAATTTTAATTTGATAGTAAATATTGTTAATTGCATCTTTTAAATAGAGAATTCTCTCAAATTATTCCACAAATCTTGCTTTGGTGTAAAATATTCTTTAAATAGTGTGAAATATTAAGTACATTACTCAAATGCGTATAAAGAGGCATGTATGCAGAGATGCTTCCTGCCAGTCCTCTTCTCAATTCACTACTCTCACAGATACCCTAACGTTAAAATCAATAATGCGGCCGCTAATGACCCAACGTTAATGCTACCTTGAATAATACAAATTTAAAAAAAAGACATTTATTTAAAAGCCTATTGCTAACAATCCTTTTGTTAGAATGAGCTCAGCTGTGAATTCTTGTGAGTTTCACGTTTTCACTATTATTGTTGTGAACTATGAAATAATCTAAGTACTTATATTTTTAAATATGATTGAATGTTCTCTCGTTATTTTAAACTTAGTTTCAGTTATGTTTTATATATAATATTTATATTATACTTTAGTTACCACAGTACAAAGTGTTTGGCTATACGAGGCCTGGTTGACTACTTGACTCTCATTCCATTTTCTAATAATATATCAATTTTCTTCAAAGCAGTGCTTGTAGGAGGGGATTCATTGATTATTTTTGTTATGATTAATGCTGCTTTAATGTTTCATATTTTGTACTTCAATATGCATATATACTTTTCTATTATCTTTTAGTGTTGTACTAGTATTTCTTATATCTATTATTTTTTATCTCTCTTCTTAATTATATGTGAATTTTTATTGTTTATGTCAGTCATATCTGTGGCTTGGCATATTTTGAACATAATTAGTACTTTTGTTTCCTTTTCTTCTTTCCATTGTATGTTTTAAATACTGTAGTGTTTCTATTTATTATAAATGCAATGTGAAAGTGGACGGTAATCAATATGTTTAAAATAAATAAATTAATTAATAAAAAAAATATTCTAAAAATTTTCTAGGAAAAAATGTAAATAAAATTAGCTGGAAAATTTGTTTAGGACATGTGTGTCTGCCTTAGGTATAAAGTATTTGTATTGGATAGATTGCAACTTATTATTAATTGTGGGTTCAATTTTTACTGGAATAGAATATGTATAATTATAAATTAAAACAACTTGTTTTGTTTCAGGCAAGAATAGCATTTCTACAAGGAGAACGTAAAGGTCAAGAAAATTTGAAAAATGACCTGGTGCGGAGGATAAAAATGTTAGAATATGCCCTGAAACAAGAAAGGTAAATGTGTATGACTTGTGTTGAATATATATTTAAGTAATGCTTATTTCATACTTATTTCTTTTTGTTTTATGTAGAGCAAAATATCATAAATTGAAATATGGAACGGAGCTTCAGCAAGGTGATGTCAAGCCTCCTATGTTCGATGAACATTCAGGGCCAGAAGCACCTGTGGATGGAGAAGCTACATTCACGTCTGTCAGCAATGTCAGTTGGAGACAAGGCAGGCAGTTACTTAGACAGTAAGTGTACTAGATAATAGTTTAGTTTTTATACATCTAGTTGGAAAAAATGGCAATCTGGTATAAACTATTTTTTATTACTATGTATTATAGATAGAATTTTATTTTGAGTATGTTTAGAAAGCAATTACTAAAACCTTTTAATTTTAATTGTTAATGCAGTAATCAATACAGTGCGACTTCATTTTGTCCCAAGATTGTTGCTTTCATTTACCATTGTGAGATCTAGTTGCAATTTCATGAGAATCTTTACTGTTATGTCAAGAATAACTGTTCTTATTTCTGTTCAGTAGTACAGTTTTATAATTGCTCAGTGAAGATCAGTTTCGTAAAATTCTAGTATTCTCAGAAACACTGAGATTATTCTGACAAATGTGGATGGACACTTCCTCTTTTTTTTTTTTCAAGAAACTCAATAAAAATTTTACCATTTTGGAATTCATTAAATTTTCTGAATATTAAAGAAAGCTCTTTTGGTGGATAAATTTCATCAATTTTATCCCTGTCTTCCTATCTTAAGTTGTTTTCATTTCACAAATAGATGTGTAGATAGAATTGTTCATAGAATGTCACTTTCATTAAAGTTTTGTTATGAGAAAGGTGGTGACCAACAAATCTTTTGTATTTGTCTTTTGTCTTTCTCATTCCATTTACTTGATCTTAAAAGGATAATACTGTTGTAGAGTAGGTAATTTGATAAATAGTGACACATACAAAAGCAAGTGTTAAAAAATTGAAAGACGTGATGAGTTTTTGACTATTCAAATATTTTAAAACTTAAAGGCAAATTAGTTTTAGGTTATTTCACTGCAGAGTGATTCCTGGTTGATGTTCTAAATCTATGTATGCACTTATGGTTTTCATTATTAATTTCCCATACCGTTATGTTTTTAGTTACGCCATTTTTTATGATTTGAATCCATTATATCATTCAATAAGATTTGAAGATATTGTTGTACTTAATGAGGAATACATTGTTGTCTTGAGGATATTATGTACTTGTACTAATAATTTTCTTTTTGATGTTCTCACCCTATTATGAATAAAATGTTCATACTGCATTGAAACTGTCATTTTTGTAGGTATCTTCAAGAAATAGGTTATACTGATACAATCATTGATGTGCGTTCCAATCGTGTACGCTCATTACTTGGATTAAATAATAATGCTGAGGGTGAAGAAAATTTGAACAATGCTCCGTTACAAGTAAATGGAAATGAACCATCTAATAAAAGAGCATGTGAAAGTCAAGGTAGACGTACTCCTGCTAAAAAGGTAATTAAACAGATTTTTAACAAAATATTTCTTTGGCAATTTAAAGAGATAATGGATATATTTTTATATTGATTATCCTCAAATTTGTCTGTTGAATCTGAATACAGTGAAACTAATCACTTGTAATTATGTTCATCAGTGATGAAGTGTGAGGTTAAATGTATGTATTCAATTGCACCAAGGATGATATATTTGACTGAGACTGATGAGTGTGTGTGTGTGTGTTGAGAGATTGAGCGCGTAGGTTTGATAGTTTGTGCCTTCAGGGATGAAATGAGAATATTGTCATGGATAGAAATCGTGAATAGAAAGCTTGTTAGAAGTGTTTTGATGTCTCAGCTCTTGCTCACTTTCTTTTGAAGAATAACTTATTTTTACCTACAAATCCTGTGAAAATAAAGTTCACTAATTCACACTGTATTCCTGTAGTTAAAAGAACCTGCATGTTAAATTTAATTAATTATGAGAGCAATTCTGTTTCCTATTATAATGCAAAAGTCAGATTTATGTTTGTTAACAATTAACAATTTTTGTTCTCTACGAAATTAAAAAAAACATTTGTTTGTATATCAGAAAGCATTATTATTATCATTACATAAAACAACTCAGAATGTACCGATTTATAATCACTTCCATTTGATGAAAGAGAAAGTAGAAACACTGACAGTTAAATAATGTATTTGCAAAAGACATTGTCAAGACAGAAGAATTTATTGTAAAATTTTGTTGGATAATATTATTTGCCAATATTTTAAAATTTCTTTAATTATAGGCCTATTATGAGTTGTATAATAAAACAGCTAGTATGTTAAAAATACCTTAGTTTATAATTATTATTATTATCATTACTATTGATTTTATTGCTTTTAATGCTGTTATTATTCAAAAACTTCTAATTTTGAAGAAAGGTAGAAACTTGTATTTGCATCATTAAGATAAATCTGTTACTGACAAGAACTATATTTCAACAGTTCACAAGTGCCACATTAAAAAAACAACTTGGATTGAAATATCTCAGCTTTTTTTTGATAGTGGCGCAACTAAAAAATTTTTTATTTTTTATTTTCTGTATTAAAAAGAAGTACTTCCTTAGTGATGATTTATGCTGTAAACAGGCATGTTTCTATTGTTAGTAATTTGCCACTAAATGGCACATGTGCTACTATCAAGTTACCAAGCTTTTACGTTTTTTACAATTTTAAGAAGCCGCTCCTGTAAACGTAGTAATTTTTTAATTGTGCTAGCAGCGATAGCACAGCAGCGCAAGCAAAGCTGCGATATGTGATGTGAGAACTTCAAATTTCATTGTCCTGAACATTAAATATATATTGGATTACGATATCATTATGATTTGTTTACTTTCTACAAGAATATGCAATTTGAATAATAAATGTCTATTATTTCAAACATGAAGTGAAAATATGTATATTTTTAGGAGAATTGTTTATTTTTTAAATTTTTTATTTTTATTTTGACCATCTGTTGGTTTAATGGTTTGGAGAAAGTACCCAGTTATGTTATGGACAGTCCACTTGTGAGAATTGGTTAAATTTGTTGTTTAAAAAACATTCAACATTAAAAATGAAAGAAACGGTAAAATTTATTTTAATATGTGTCAACAATGTACATTTCGCATCATTGGTAGGAGACAGAAGTTGATTAGAAAAACAAAGAATGAAGTTCATTAACAATAGTATTATTAAATTGTCAGTATCGAATTAACATTTTGGCTGTATTCAGTTACATTCCTCATAAGAACTGAATAATTTAAATTTCAAAATTGCAAAAGCAACGTTCAGTATGAAGTGCAATGGCCCGCAGCAAGGATAATATTAAAATATAATTTGCGGTTTTAAAAATTAAATTCTCTCTTGAACCTCTTTATAAAAAAATTAAATGAACTTAGATTAGAGTCATACTGTGATAACTTTTACATGTGTTTCAACATTACAAGACTGTTTTACTTTAAAATTACTAATGAATTTGAATATTTGGTACTAAAATGTGTTTGTTGTTGTAGTCTTGCAATCCATCACCTGTATACAACTCATTCACTCTTATAAAATTGAGCCCATCGTGCTTTATGCCTTAATGACTCCAGACATTTTCAGATCACATGAAATAATCTATAATGGATAATTAGCAATTTGCTGGCTATACCTAATGGGTAGCCTTTGATAAGTCAGATCAGTTAGTTTCAAAATACTTTACAAAACTAATTATTGTATGTTCTTCTGCAGTATACAACTACTTTCAAATAAAAGTTAATTTTATAAATGTGGCTCACAGCAACAGTTGAACATGCATGTGTGCGCGCGCGCACACACACACACACACACACACACACACACACACACACACACACACACACACACACACACACACATAAACATACCTACCTATCGACACATAAAAGTGCGCGCGCACACACATGCACATGGACACATACCACAATACTGCTTGTTGGCTGACTAGTCAGCAGATTTGAGCTTATCCATTTGGTAGTGCCTCTAAGCAGAAGGTCCTTGGTTCCACGCTGATGGGTGATACCTGGTTGGGGGAAATCCCATTTGCCAATGGTAGGTCAGTGCCAAATTTCACCATCCAGCGAGGAAAGATCACTACCACCTCTAGAGGAATCCCTACACTTATGGGACTAATGACCTTAGCGGTTGGCGTGTCCAAAATCACTTATATTACTTACTTTTTTATTTCTTATAAGAACAGCACATTCTCTAGGAAGCACCAGTACTAGAATGTTTCAAGACAAAGGTTAATGGTTTGCTGTTTTGACCAGTTTGTGATTTATTAATCAATCAATCAATCAATCATCCCAGTTGGGGTGATGCCCACTTACTGAATACCTGGAGAAGGGAACCCCCCAAGCAGACGTATATGTCATGTTCCAGTGGAGGAGAGGTTCACTTGATTACATTTTCCTTAATTGTTTATTTCCCTCTTGAATGAAAGTGAAATAGCAAAATAGTTCTTTGTAGAGCTGGTGGAGGTCACCATAACTCTGTTGGCACTACAATTTTTCATGGAGCTTAATTGTTAATGCAGCGTTGTCAACTCATATTTTTATGCCTCACATTCTATTTGTGTTACGTATGTGTTTGCAAATATCTTTTTAGGATGATGAAATGACAAAAACTACTAATTAAAATAACATGAATAGTAAAGTTTCATCTTTCAAATGAAGCCTTGATTACACCAATCCCTCCAACAAATATCAAGATCTCAAATCTGAATTTTAACTCTTTATGTTTATAATTCATATATAAAATATTTTTTACACTGCTTTATGTTATAATTTTAGTCTTATTCTCACATTCTATCCATCAGTTTTATTTAGAGAAGACATATTAGCAAATAATAGATTTCTGTATTCATGTCATCTTTGAATTCATAACTTAACTTAATATTATGAGTTAGGACAGAAATTCCAGAGCTCAAGAAACCATGCACAAATAGTTCTTCTCCCCATTGTGTTACAAACCATTTTTAACTGTTTGGCATTAAATAAATAAATAAGTGATAAATTTCAACTTGCGGGACTGAAAGTAGACTCCCTAAAATTACCCTAGAAAACTAAAAAGAGGTACAATAAAAGTAGGATTAAATTTACTTTTTTTCATATGAAACTAATGCTTTGAATGGAAAGAAATATTACCAGCATTTAATTTATTACAGAGTTTTCACAGATCTTCACCTCTGTTATGTTATTCTATAGAATTCTAGAAACAAATAGTAAGTTAATAGAAACAAAAGTTATTGTGTTTACGAGAAAAATATTAAGTTATGAGATGAATGATTTGCAGAATCTCTGTAATTTCTAGACATAGATCACTTTGGCTAATGTTTTTTACTGTATTAAAATGCTAATTGCTAAGAAAATACCAGTACCAGTAAAATAATGTTTAATGATCTCTTTAAACATTGTTAGATATTTCAAATAACAAATACTTATGATCCTTCTTTCTTGTAGGTTGTTTTCTTTTTGAGTCTCTAACAGGAATCGAAAAGGTATTGAAAACTTCAAACAAACAAAAAAAACAACTTTATAATAGAGATCGGAAAAATATGTAGTATGATACATCAAAATGTGTACATATATTCGTAATGGAAATAGTACAAATATTTATTAATATGTAAAATCGGATATAATTTGTGCTATTAAAATTCACTAATTATAAAGCACGTTTACATAATACTAAATTATATTTATAAAAAAATTCCTAAACAAATTTTAAAAATTATATAATAGTCTTAAAATCATTGCATAGCGTGCATAGAGAGCACAAGTTGATGTACACTTTGCACCATATAACTTATCCGACAGTAGTAGAAGATTCAGCTGTTGCTATCCAAGTCAGTAGTTTTGCAGCCTGACTAGATGCAATAAATAGTATATTAATATTCATTGAACAAACTGATGATATCTACCAATGGCAAACCATCACTGCAGCATGAACTACTCTCAACTCATTGAATCTTAAATGTCGGCCATCGCCAATATTTCTTCGAAATTAAGATTAAATTTTACGATCTGCGGCGTCGGTGATAGTTTTTACACCAAAAGGTGAAAATGATCTCGGTTGCTGCCGCTCACCTCCCGCCACCGAGCTCAAAGAGGCGCGCCAGTCTGTGAGAACATCACGCCTCCTTATATAGTGAGCCTAAAGAGACAGCATACAGTATTAATATAAGGAAAATGCTGATTTTATGTATAAAGGAGAACTTATTTTCATAAAAAATTGAAATAAAATTCAAAAAAATGTCTGGAATAAAAATATTTTGTGGAAATATAAAAATGTGTAATATAGTTCTGAATACATAAAAATATATAATGGAAAAAATTTGATATTGTGTTTGGATGGATTCACAAAGATTACAAATTTGAGATCGGTAAGTAGAAAGACCAAAAATATGTAATTACATAAAAATCCCATCTCTACCTATATAGTACAGGTGTTATTTTAGTACAGTCTCATACTTCT